CCTAGAAAATATCTCTACCTTCTCTCTAGAAAACAAGAGTAGCTTGTTCTTCAAGCCAAAAGAAGCCTTTGTCAAGATTCCAAGTTTTGCTTCCAAGATTCAATCTTTCCTCTATTTTGGCATCTAGAAGGGTAAGATCTAAGCTTGTCTAGTCTTTTTGGTTCCATCTTGGTTGTCTTTTTCTTAAAGGTTGGATCTTTATGATCTTTTGGTTTGATCTTGAAGTGGGTTTGGCTAGTGAGCTTAGTGGAGAGCTTATTGTGGTGTAAGAAGAGTCTTTTGATCTTCAAGAGGTAACCCATGCTCTACAAAACCTATTTTGCTTACCTATATATGATTTCTTGGCTTCTACTTGTTCTTTGATATGAAATGTGAGAGTTTATGCATTTATCTTGTGATATTGCATATCTAGAGCTTGTGTTTAGGATTCCTTTGTGCCATTGCTTGGCATTTTCCATGGTTCAAGTCATTTTGTTGTGTTTGGTGAGATTTGGCATGTTTTGGACTTGAATTTGTGTTTGGAGGAGAAAATCCCCGAAGGGATTTGTTGTGGTACAGGGATGTACCCGCGGGAGGGGCACTACCCGCCGGCCTACCCGCGGGGAACGTGTGCCCTGCGGGTTGTGTACCCGCGGGCGGGACCACGGGTGGGGCACTACCCGTGGGTCCACCCGCGGGGAACACGGTGGTGTTGTGGTGGGATTTGTTCCCCGTGATTCGTTTGTCTTGGTCTTGGATCTTTTGGCCTCCCGTTGTTCTTTTGTGAAACTATTTGAGCGTCTTCTTGATGTTTCGTAGGTCTAGAGCTTTTTGGTAGGAATCTATGTAGGATCTTTGGTGTTGTGAATCGTGCTAAGTGTTCAACATTGTGTTTCGTTGAACGGTGTGGTGTCTTGTGTGTTCCTCGGAACTATCTTGAGTTTCCTCGTTGTTGAGCTTGCTAGTTATTATCTTAATGTTAGCGTCGTTGTCGTCGATGGGTGGTGACCTGTCTCTTGATTGAGTGTGTTTCATACCTTCTCTTGCAATCCGTTGTTCGTTTCGTGTGAGTGGTGGTGCATGTGTGGCTCTACCTGGATTGCACAATTAGTGGTATGGGACACTAGTCACCAAGGTATTGCAGCGGTCCTCGTGGTGGCCGTGACGTGATTTTATGGAGTTGTGGCTGAGTCCACGTGATTGGGGGATAACATTGTGTTATCCGGGCATGTGTTGCCGTGAATTGGTGGGTTTTCGTTGGTGGTCTGTAGGTGGGGGACGACGGTCCCGGCGGAATAAGGTTGGACTTGGCTGTACAGGGGTTTTCTGGAGGTAATGGTTGGCACCGAAGGTACAAGGTTGGGGGTAGCCATAAGGTTGGAACAGGGCATAAGGAAGACATATCAACTCGTGATGTGTGATGTCACGAGGGCTTGTGAAGCCGGTGTTGTGGTGAGTTCTCTTCTCTCGTGACGTGTGTAGTCACGGAGGCTTGTGGTGTTTTGGCATGTATTGCCGGTGGGTGAGTCTTTATCCTTGTGTGTGGTTAATCTTTGTGGTTGGGATGTTTCCCAGTTTTATCCTTGTGAGTGGTGAGTCTTGTGTTGTCTTTTGATCTTGGCTTTTGACTTATATATATGTATTCCGTTTCGAAAATGGTTTTCATATTATATATCTACCTATTTATGATACTTAACGGTATTGGTGGGTTACCAGCATCTTTCGCTGACCGGGCGTCGCCCCGATGTTTATCTTTGTATCTTTCAGGTGATGCGTAGTCGAGTGCGATGTCTAGAGCCGATAGCTTAGCACCTGTATCTTTAGACAGTGTTGTTGAGGCCTGTGTGCCAATGTCTTTAGCTTGTTCTAGTTTGTTGTTTTTGGGATAGTGTTACACTTGCAGATTGTCGCCGTAGCGTATACCTAGTGTGGTATACGTGGCATAACACCCCGTTTTGGATTCCTTTTATCCAGTTATCTTTTTATCTTCTGTTGTGCTAGTGTTTTGTTGTTAATCTGCATGTGTTAAGACTTGTTTTTAAGTCGTGTTTCGGGGGGTGTTACAGATTTATATAATAAAGGTTGTAATTCCATAAGGTACTCACGTTGATGATTAGTGATGTGTAAAGGCGGAATTACTAGGTGAAATTCCCTCCCTCTCATTCTGTTAAAATTTAAGTTTATAAGGGTTAAAAGATGTATAATGGATAAAGGTTATGAGTTAGTTTCACATTCCTAAAGGGATTTCTATTCCAAAGGAGGTCACATTCCTAAAGGGATTTCTATTCCTAAAGGAGGTTCCCCATTCCTCTTGAAAGAGGGTTTCTCATCACATCTATAAATACCCAGGAAAACTCTAGGGATCTTAACGGTTTCAAATCTCTAAGTTTTCTAGTCTCTGTATCATCAGGAGGTGATTAAGGAATACGGATCAGAGAGGTGAAGCATTATATTCTTGATTCATTCAATTTAGAGATTACATCTTCAATGGAACCAAGTAAGTTCATTCTATCTTTTCTATTTAATTAAAAATCCATGTTCATGAACATTGTTTAGTTGATTGATTTGATTTAGATGCGATCATTGTTAATTGTGTTTCCGCATTCAAGTTATAGCGCATAAATTATTATTTAACCTATGCCATTAAATAATGGGAACCTTCGTATTTTTTGAGAGCAACACACACCACCGCCCAAGATATGTAGAAGAAACGCAAACAAACCACCTCGTCTTGGTTTCCATTATCAGCATTTTCGGTGTCAATCTGGTTGCAGCTAACAATTTGCTCCTCTGGGTATGTAGAAATGTCCAGAACATTTTCCTTAAAGTCACCTCCACGTGGCTTGCATCGCGAGTCCAATCGGCGAAAGTTTGCGATGCATCAGATCAGAGTCAGTGACCACACCATCAACGACGCCGACCAGTTCCAGCACCGTCACTGTGTCGGGATGGCGAACGGTAGCATACACTGCACGTCGTAGCCACAGCGGAGGAGAGATTTAATCAGCCACGATCCTACGAAGCCTGAACCTCCCGTTACACAATATATGTTACTATCACGTGTCGCTGTTCCGTTGTCACCGCTGTCTTCCATTGCTGCAGACGATCCAACACCTGTAAGTAATAATACAGTCATACTGGGTTCACTATGTTGTTTTCTTCGTCGGCTTTCCAATCATCACCGTTCAAGTCTTCTTCGTCCGCAACATCTATACTATTATCCATCTCCGTGTCTGAGTTCTGCGAAGCAATCTCGTGGGCGACTGTTGCCATTTGGAGTTGGGAAACAGAGTAGGACCAGACGAGAGCCGGAGGATGGAGATCGAGGAGCTTGCCGGCAATCTGATTACCTGTTGATGGTTTGCATGGAACGCGATTTGGGACTGCGCAAATTTGCAAAAACAAGAAAAAAAGAATGGTGGAGTTGGGCGGTGCGGTGTAACCTTGTGATGAAGTATATAGTGCAATGGTGAAGCGCAGCAACAGAATGGAGACAAGAAGACACGTTTGGTAGACGCGTTTGGTAGACGCGTTGGGTAGACACCTTTGGTAGACGCGTTTGGTAGACGTCCTTTGGTAGACGCTTTTGCCTTTGGCAGTAGGCACTTTTGGCAGTTATAACTGCTTCTTTCTTATCTCTGTATATAAGCTCATGTTGAGCTTCCTTTTTCAATGTTAATCAATTCCCTTTCTTCTCTTCTTAGACTCTAGTATACTTTGCTCAACAATATGGTTGATTCTCATGCATGACCCGAGATAATTCATCATGGTATCAGAGCACCGCAGCTACGCAGCGGTGGTGATGTCAGAAAATCAGAACAACAACGACGGAGGCTCGACAGAACAAGCGAGGGCCGGAGCTTCTTCGAGTCAGATTCCGATGAACGTCGATCATGCACAGGAATTCGGCGATCCTTGGTATCTCCATATCACGGAGAATCCTAATTTGATTCTCGTCTCTCCGCCTCTATCCAAAGTAAACTATGCGTCATGGAGTCGATCAATGAAAATTGCTCTCGAGGTGAAGAACAATTATGGATTTGTTGATGGATCCATCACTAGGCCTGAGGAAACTGATCGGAGATTCTCTGTTTGGAGGAGGTGCAACAACATTGCTTGCTCGTGGATCCTCAAGTCTCTTAGCTCCACGATTGCAGAAGGAGTCTTGTTCCTTGAGACTGCATCAGATGTGTGGAACACTCTGAAGAAGAGATATTCTCAGATAGATTCACACAGGATTGCTGAACTGCAAAATGAGATCTATCGATGCTCACAATGTAATCTCTCAATCAACGAGTATTTTACTAAAAGCAATGGTTTATGGATGCAAATGAATGCTATGAGGCCAATTCCTGCTTGTGAATGTGTTCCTAAGTGTACCTGCTCCCTAGTAAGCAAAATCCAAAAGGAAAAAGAAGAGGATCAAATCATTAGGTTTTTGGAAGGCCTAAGTGAAGAGTATGAGAGTATTAAATCTGCAATTCTTGTTATGGAACCTATTCCCGCCATTGAGAAAGTGTTGAGTATGACTTTAAAAATGGAAAGAAAAATTAAAAACTCTTTCAATCGAAGGAACAATGATACAGTTCAAGCAAATGTTCTGCAAAACAGTCAAGATCAGTATGAAGAAGAACAGCCTCTAGTGGCAGTCTCAGCCCTAAACAGTAAGAAAAAATACAATAATGGCAGTGGAAATGGGAATGGATTAGGAAAGAATATGCCTAAGTGTACTTTCTGTGGGAGACTTGGTCACACCATTGACAAATGCTACAAGAAACATGGTTTTCCCCCCTGGCTGGATCCCAGGATATAAGTCTAAAACTAGACAAACTCAGGACTCACAACAAGCTCCTACTTCCCTTGTGAATTAGGTTGGTGATGTAGGTCTCACATCTGAACAATTTCAGAAATTGCTGTCTCTATTACAGAATCAGAACCAGGGGAATCAAGCATCAACTAGTGCAGTTGTGACTGTCAGTAAAAATGGTCTTAAGCCAGATTTCAAAAACTCTACTGAAGGCAGGTTCATCTCTAATCTCCATATTAACAATGCCTTATTTTCATCAAGTGTATGAATTCTTGATTCTGGTGCCACATATCACATTTCATGTTCTTTGGATTTTTTGAGACATGCCATGTCATTCATGAAGTTTTTGTTAAGTTGCCTAATGGGGAAATGATGAGTGTCTCACACATAGGACAAGTTAGGCTAGACATGAACATATTGTTGCAAAATGTTTTGTACATACCATCCTTCAATTTCAACATTATATCTGCAACAAAATTGATAAGGCAGTCAGGTTATGAAATCATTATGAAAGCTGACTCTTGTAAACTTCAGGGACCTCTTGGGGTAGTGGATGGTTTTGCTAAAGAAAGAAATGGGCTATATCTGATAAACAACCCCCCTGTCAAGAAGAAGACTGGTAGTTCAGATAAAGTTTCTAGATCATGTAACAGTTTCTCTTTATAGCTGTGGCATGACAGATTAGGCCATTTTCCTGTAAATAAGATACAATTGTTGAAAGGAATAAAACTTTCCTTTTCTTTGAAATGTACTAATTTTGTTTGTGATGTTTGTCACTTTGCAAGACACAAGAAATCCACATCTCCTGTCAGTGTTAATAGAGTTAAGGCATGTTTTGATTTATTGCATATGGATGTTTGGGGCCCCTTTACTGTTGCATCCCTCAAAGGGGAACATTATTTCTTGACTATGGTAGATGATCGTAGCAAGTTTACCTGGTTACATCTAATGAGGCACAAATCAAAAGTGAAGCCTATTTTCCAGAATTTTTATAATATGGTTTGCACTCAGTTCCTAGCCAAGATCAAGGTTGTTAGAACAGATAATGGTGGTGAATTTATGATGAATGATTTTTTTGGTGAGAAGGGAATTCTACATCAGAAATCTTGTGCATACACACCCCAACAGAATGGGGTGGCAGAGAGGAAACATCAGCATATTTTGAACATGGCAAGGGCTCTAAAATTTCAATCTGGACTGCCTGACAAATTCTGGGGTCATTGTGTTCTACACTCTTCTTACCTGATCAACAGGCTACCTACTGATGTTCTAGATGGATCCACTCCCTACCAAGTTTTATTTGGCACAGACATAGACTATGGTCAGCTCAGACCTTTTGGTTGTTTATGCTTTGCTGCCACAATTGCACAAGGCAGAAACAAAATGGAATCAAGAGCTGAGAAATGTGTTTTTCTGGGATTTGCTGCCAATGTAAAGGGTTATTTACTGTATGATATTGCTAACAAAGTTACCTTTATCTCTAGGGATGTTAGGTTCTATGAGCAGACCTATCCCTTTAAACAAGGCAATCTACAGAATACTACATCAGAATTATTCAATCCCACTCTACCTCTTATTCCCATCTCAGTTGAAGTTGATGCTACTGCCTTGGATTCAACACAAGTCATTCCTACAGACACTTCCCCAAGTAGAGGAATTCATGATGTTAATACTAGTCCTGGTGACACAGCCTAGATGCACCTCCACAAATTCCTCATGACTTGTCACCGGATATTCATATAGAACTCCCACAGCTTGGTTCTGATTCACCAGAACAGAATACTGAACAGATGGAGCCTCCACCTACTAATGACATTGATCCTCCACAGCCAAGAAGGTGAGCTAGGATTAAAAAAAATCCCTTCCAGATTCCAGGATTACCATTGTCAGTATGCTATTAGAACTTCACCTCATCCATTGAGCAAGTTTATTTCCTATGACAATTTGCCTTCCAGTCTGAGGATATGTGCCTCTTCTATCACTGAAGTACATGAGCCCCAAACTTATAATGAGGCAGTGAAACATGAGCAATGGAGAAATGCAATGCAGAATGAGATACAGGCACTGATCCAGAATGACACTTGGATTTTAATAGATTTGCCACCTGGAAAAACCCCAATTGGATGTAGATGGGTGTATAAGGTCAAATACAAGTCAGATGGTTCCATTGAAAGATACAAAGCTAGGTTGGTTGCCAAAGGATATACTCAGCAGCTTGGAGTTGATTACATTGAGACTTTTTCTCCTGTGGCAAGGATGACAACAATTAAAATCTTTCTTGTTGTTGCTGTTGCTAAAGGTTGGGACATTCAACAACTTGACATTAATAATGCTTTCTTACATGGTGATTTGCAAGAAGAAGTATATATGGTTTTACCTACAGGTTTTCAAAGTGATAATCCTAATCAAGTGTGCAGATTGGTGAGATCCCTGTATGGTTTGAAGCAAGCTAGTAGGCAGTGGAATGCCAAGCTAACTGGAGCTTTGCTAAGCAATGGTTTCCAACAGTCATCTGCAGATCCATCACTGTTTACAAAATGTCTTAATGATTCCTTTATTGCATTATTGGTATATGTTGATGACATTTTAGTTGCAGGCAACAATCAAGTCCAGATTAATCAATTGAAGCAGTTTCTGGACAGATCTTTCAAGATCAAAGATCTTGGCCAATTGAATTTTTTTCTTGGCATTGAGGCTTTCAGAAATTCCAAGGGGCTTAACATTTGTCAGAGAAAATATACTCTTGAGATCTTAGAAGAGAATGGATTCCACCAAGCCTGCAAATACTCCTTTCACTACAGGTCTAAGGCTCACTAATCTGGAAGGAGATCTACTTGATAACCCTGAAATCTATAGAAGATTGGTTGGAAAAATTGCTATATTTAACCAACACTAGACCTGATATTTCCTATGATGTGCAACAGTTAATCCAATTTGTTGATAAGGCAAAACATACTCACTTAACAGCAGCTCATAGAGTGCTGAGATACTTGAAAGGATCTCTTGGAAAGGGCCTATTTTATTCATCAAATTCTGATATCAAAGTGCAAGGCTTTTATGATTCTGATTGGGCAACATGTGCAGAAAGTAGAAAGTCCATAACTGGTTATTGCATTTACATTGGAAAGTCTCTAGTCTCATGGAGAACCAAGAAACAAGCCACCATTTCCAGGTCATCCTCTGAGGCTGAATATAGAGCTTTAGCATCAACTGTTTGTGAGATCCAGTGGTTGATATATTTGTTGGCAGATTTGAAGATACACATTGACAGCCCTGTGGCCTTGTTTTGTGATAATAGATCTGCCATTGCTATAAGGGAAAACTTTGTGTTCCATGAGAGAACCAAACATATAGAAATTGATTGTCATGTAGTAAGACAAAAGATTCATGAAGGGGTTATTAAGCTATTGGCAATATCTTCACACAATCAGAATGCTGATGGTTTCACTAAGGCTTTGCCTAAGCCATCTTTTTATTTTTTCCACTCTAAGCTAGGCCTTCAAGATCTTCATGCTCCAGCTTAAGGGGGGGGGGGGGGGGTGATGAAGTATATAGTGCAATGGTGCAGCGCAGCAACATAATGGAGACAAGAAGACGCGTTTGGTAGACGTCTTTGGTAAACGCCTTTGGTAGACGTCTTTGGTAGACGCATTTGGTAGACGTCTTTGGTAGACGCCTTCGCCTTTGGCAGTAGACACTTTTGGCAGTTATAACTGCTTCTTTCTTATCTCTGTATATAAGCCCATGTTGAGCTTCCTTTTTCAATGTTAATCAATTCCCTTTCTTCTCTGCTTAGACTCTAGTATACTTTGCTCAATAATATGGTTGATTCTCATGCATGACCTGAGATAATTCATCACCTTGGTCCTCTCCATTGTTGGTGACGTGTTTAGTGGGGGAGAAAAGCAATGGATTTGGAAAAATGTGAAAGGTCTCTTATGCCCTCGCATTTCACGGCAAAAACGGAAAACACTAACGGCAGGACTAGGGCAGGTCATTTTTGAAACTTGGAGGATCACGAATGGTTAATTTAAAAGTTTAGGACCATACGTGGCGGAACCACTATACTCGAGGGACCTTGGCTGGTATTAACTCTATTAAATTACTAATAAAATATTTATCTTTTATAAAAAAAAAACGTAATATTTTTATATTTTAATACAAAAGTATTATTTTTTTCATCAAAAGTATTATATTTTCCCTTATAAGTAATGCTGAACTTATAAAAGAAAAGAGTTAATTCCATTTTTTGTCCTATATTTATAGGTGACAGTCCACTTTTAGTCCTAGATTTATCAAATCATCTATTTTCGGTTCTAGTATTATTGTGACATGACCAATTTTGATCCTCTATCAACAAAATCGTTGAAATTTTGTTAAATTGAAGGACATTTTGCTATTCAATTTTGATTTTTTTAGAAAAATAAACATAAAAAATATAACGGGTCGACACACTTTGTATTAAAAAGATCAAAATGTCCTTAAATTTAACGAAATTTCAATGATTTTGTTGATAAAGGACCAAAATTGGTCATGTCACAATAATACTAGGACCAAAAGTGGATGTTTTGATAAATCTAGGATTAAAAGTGGGCTGTCACCTATAAATTTGAAATTAACTCTAAAAGAAAATGTAATACTTTTAATTAAAGTGTAATACTTTTACGTATGCAAATGTTGTTTTCTCATCCTAAAGCTTCTGTTTATGTTGAAGGCAAATGTTGTAATATAATCAAATAATTTTAGTTGACAAGAAAATTTTAACATTGATGGTTTTTTTTTCCATATGATATTAGAAATTTATAGTATATATATCTTGTGTTTTTCTATTGAATAACCTGCCATAATTTGTAAAATGTCTAATAGTATTTTTATTTAAAAACCAGATCTCTAAAACATTTTTTTATAATCATTTGAAATTTTGCATTACTCTTTATTTTGTTTTTGATTTATATTGTAAAGTAATATGCAGGGCCGGTCTTATCATTTTACTTATATGTCCGGGACAAAAAAAAAAAAAAAAAAAAAAAAAAGGGTCCTTAATATATGTAGTTAAAAGATCACTACAGGAAATTTCGCTATTTCCGCCCAACGTCCGTTGAACGGGAAACGGGAGTTATTGGTTGGAAAACAGGTTTCTGTCCAACATTCCGACCAAAACGTGAACCCGGAAAAATGAACACCAGTAATACCGTCCAACATCAAATGTTGGACAGAAATTCCG